GGTTGCCGTTTGTCAGCAAATTTACAACAATGTCTGAATATGGAGTTTAGCTCGTTAGCATCAGTTCGATGGAAAAAAAAAGAACTGTGAAAAATGAGCCCAATATAATAATCGGTAATGAAAGTTTCTCATCTAACTCAGCGTACGTTTATTCTAGAGGGACTCAGTTTTCCGCACCGGTAAACAAGCGGCACAGCTTTACAAACGAGGCTTGGTGTTTCCTGCGATCTCTGAAAACAGAGCTCGTTTCAGAAACGAGAGAACGTTCTTGTTCTTCTTTTGAAAGGTTCTGAGGAAATGAAAGCGCTTTGCGCACCTGTTATATGAAAGTGTGGCGGAGGTAAAGAAAAACGTTTAAGTAAAGAATGAAAGAGTGCACAAATGTAGGGGCGTTTTCTCCAAGGAGGCAAGAGAGGCAAAAAATGTAAAAAAAAATCTGTCAAAACAAAGAACACAAAAATATTACAAATATTACAAAACAAAATGTATTTCTAATAAATAAATTAATATAAAAAATGTATTGTATTAGTAACAACAACAACAATAATAATAATAATAATTATTATTATTATTATTAGTTCTGTTTTTATGACTGAAGCCAAAAGCAGAAATACAATTATTAAAAAAAATAAAACTGTTTTCTGTTATGAAATTTCTTATGCATCCCTGATTGATTTCAAAGTGGAAATTATAATAATATTAATTATTATTATTATTATTATTATTATTATTATTATAGTTAAATTATAATAATTAGATAAAAAAATATATTGTATTAATTATTGTATATGACAAATAGTAAAAAGGCAAAAATAAAATCCTTTAAAAACAACTAATAAAAAAGGCAAGTACAGTTGTGAGATATGTTACAAAGCATGTGAAGTACAATAAAAAGTGACTAATGTTTGACAGTTCACTTACAGTATATATTTTTTTCTGAATACGACTCTCCCATCTATCTGTAAAAAAAACTACTTGATGATCTATCATATCTCTATATTAAGTATGTGCTTGTTACGCTGTTAATTTACTTTCTATTCTCGCGCATATATCTTGTGATAGTCCCAATACTAGATGAGTAACAAGAGACGTTTCTAAAGTTAGAGACTGAAACTCTTTGTATTGAACGCTCTCGTCTCGGTGAGAAACAATGGCACTGCTTTCTTCAGCTCATTACCCCTCTCTCTTTTCCCTTTCTTGTCTACATTTCTCAGAGCAACATCTATAAAACATTTATCAACATTACCACTGCAAAGCAGCGCAGCGCATTCACACCTTGGACAAATTCATACACAGACGAACACGCCAACGCACGGTCCTGACCGTATAGATCCACACACACACAAATGCAATGAACTATATTTCACTATTCACACACAGACATTCATTGTTATTCTACTATGATCAAATATGCACATATACTCAACTGAGTCTACGGAGAAGCTCATCTATAATCTGTCTCCCTCTCCAGCCCACACACACACACACACACACACACACACACACACATACATACATACACACGCACGCTCATAAAAGTTAATGCACGCTTGCTGCAGTCAGGATGCTAATTCATTGGTCCCTGTAGACTCTTACTTAAGGTAAGGTTTTAAAGAGGGGAAGATTAGCTATTCATGCACACAAAGACAAGTGGCTAATCTCCCCCTCCCCGTTCGCTTTGATTCCTGCCTCCTTCCATAATTCATCGGCGCTCTTCCGTTCCTGCCGCCCCCCTCTGGGCCAGGTTTCTATGAATAGATGATTAGGATGTCGGAATCAAAAAATCTGATGAAGAGTCACAAAGCGCACACGTCGATGCGCCGGTGACACGCTCCCGTCCGATCGCCCTCGCTGCCGGGGTCGTCCTTAAATGTTAGAGGGTGTTTGTTTGTTGCGTAGGGTGGCCAGATTTCAACCGGGACTCACAGGGGGTGGAGGGAATCCCAGTGAATGCTTCAAAGATGTAGTTTATTTAATCGAAACATTGCCTGTAAAAGATGAAACACTGGCTCTGTCCATGTCTTAGTGAGCTGACTTGATGTGATTGATTTCAATAGAATTTTGTTTAGAGCATAAACAAAGCAAAAAAGTGCAAAAATACATAAAACACACAAATTATGTATTTTAATTGAATTAAACTATTTATTTTTTCAATTAATTTCAGTACTAAATCATAGGTTTCTTCATTCAGCTTGTGCAATACATTATGGGATTGCCTTCTTCAAGAAGGATACTTGAGATGTTTTTTGTCCAAAAGAAAGTACTGTAAATTAAAGGCAGCATAACTGTTTTGACTTGTTTTCCTGTTAAAATATCTAAAATGCTTAAAACAAGACCGGTTTACTTGAGAAATAACACTGCATAACATACAAATGCTTGTTTTCAGAGAATGTATCTTTAATATGGGTGTATTTTGCTTTACTCCACTGGCAGATATTTTCTCTTCTGTTAAGAAAAAAACAAGTCACAAAATCTGCCAGTGCAGTAAAACAAAATACCCTTATATTCCAGATATAGTCTCAGAAAACAAGTGTTAATAAGTTATGCTTCTCAAAAAAAATTATCTTGTTAAAGGAGCATTTTAGATATTTTAACTACATAATTACACAAAAATACTCATTAGGAATAGGAGTTTTTACAGTATAAACAGCTCAATAAGTTTCTGAACAAAGTGTTTTCATAGATTCATGTTTTGCAGAATAGTTAGTGCATATCATAACAGTGTTATACCTTTGTACGCTTGGCTTGACGCGTTCTGTAATGTCTAATATGCCTTTGTGAATGACAAAAACAATGACAGTACTTCTATGCTTCATACAAAAAAAAAACGGTTGCTAAAAATGTATTTGTGCATTTTCAAGCTAAGCTAGCTGCTTGTATGCTGCAAGCTCATTTCTGAAACAAAATGAAAAAAAAAAATTATAAAAGTACACATAAATAACACAAGAAACAGCTTTCCTTCTACATCTAAAAGGACTCAAACAACAAATATTTTTATTTAAAAGACCCCATTGGTAATGGTCTTTTTATTCAAAGGAATTAAATAATTAAAATCGAAAGGAACTGTTGGCAAATTATATGCATATAATTTTTTATATATTGTATTTCTTTTTTTTTTTTAAATATGCATCCATTCAGTCTTATTTGTATACCTAATATGCTGAAAATGCTTCTCGTCTCATAACATTCAACTATAAAGTATATGAATCACGTAAATTACAGCCTGTATTTTCGATTCAAAACAGCAAAATTTGACAAAAAGGTTGAGTAGTTTGTATCACTGGTTATTACTATTGTTTGTTAACATTTTGATCATGAAACAGTTGTCAAATATTAAATGTTTAGTTACATCTTACCATGCACTCTTTCGCAGTTAAAAACGGAAGCATTACACTTTAATTCTAGTTCAGTTGGGAATAGTTAACATTGACGAGTACTAATGCTGGGAAAATAAATCGATGCATCGCAAATCGAGAAATGATTCCACATCGATTCTGAGATTTTCCAAATGCATTGCGATTCTTTCTCGAGTCGATTCTGAGCTTAGTTTTGAACAGCAGATGGCACTGCATGCTTTAGAAACAGCCGTACTCTGCTTGTTTCCAAATCCTTACATTTGTTAGGCTCTAGGCATGACGAAGCGGATATCGTCCTCTTTTGGAAGTCCAAACAAAGTAGTTTCGCTTTCACAACGAAACACACAGAACACAAACACGCGTCTTCACGACATGGCGGCAGCAACAATACTACAGCGAGAATCAAGGTTACACCTTCTTTCTTTGCATGAACATTTGGGCGGCGTTATGCAAATCTTCCACATAGTGACGTAGACATGTGGGGGCGTGTTAGAACGAGCCATTTTAGGTAGGCGTGGCTGACTCTTAACTTTTATAAAGAATATCTCTTTGGGTTTGAGACTTTAGTCTTTGCAACTTTACAGATCTTCTTTATGCACCAAGAGCTTGTAACACTCCAAAGAGAAAGGAAATATTGAAATCGCATCATATGACCCCTTTAAATATAAAATATGGGGGTGGGGGGGGTTATGGTGGTTATGGACCTGCACTGAAGATAAAACCTTTTCAGTCAGTGAGCCTCACAGTGGAGACTGGGACATATTTACATTTGTATAGCAAACCATCCAGACACTGTACTTTGGACAATGCTCCACTAAACCATGTACAGAAATACAAAGCAGATATTCATGCGGCCTTAACACTGCTGACTCAGGGACGAAGGTCAAAAGGCAGGAACTGTGTGAATTACAGCTGATTGGGTGTGAAATAAAGTAAGCTATACATGAGCATCCAATCCCATCTGGCAAAGTCGAGTGCGATGGACACAATGAGGACATAATCATCTCTGTGGACGAGAACTCAAGCTACTAAACACAATAGGTTTGAGCATGCTATAAATATGCAACTTCAATTTGCGATTTATTTGTGTTAACACCAATATTTTCGTCCCATGAGGTCGACCCTAAAAGTCAATTTACTTCATGAATGACACTGTTAGAGAAGAAACATGACCTAAGAATGGCTTCTAGCGACAATGTATTTTAATTCAAACTCTTTGTTTATCCTAACCTGCTTGACCATGTTCTTTAAAAGAGCACCTTAGGGTGTATGAGCTGTTTTTTTTTTCCCAGCAAGGATGAAATACAGACCCAATCAGGCTGCTTGTGTGTTCTTGTGTTGGGCCGGTGGGGTTCTGAGAGTCTCTTTAATGCAGTACAAGCAGTGATCGATCCGCTGTCTGCTCCTACATAGAGCACACTATTCCCCTGACTCCTATTACAAACACACTTATTCTACTCATCCACCTCCAACCGAGCCAACACAGAAAGAAAGAAAGAAAGAAAGAAAGAAAGAAAGAAAGAAAGAAAGAAAGAAAGAAAGAAAGAAAGAAAGAAAGAAAGAAAGAAAGAAAGAAAGAAAGAAAGAAAGAAAGAAAGAAGCAGTAAATATTAAGCGTCCAGTGTCTGTGGGTGTTTGCTTTACCTGTTGAACATTGATCCAGTAGCCGATGATTTTGTCCACGGCGCCGGGCTCTTTCTGTGTCCACTGTAAGATGTAGGAATAATTGTTCTTCAAGGTGCGAATGGGGTTTGGAGTGTCATAGTAAAACTCTGCATTATACGGCTGAGCTAAATGAACAAACAAACCAAAACAGAGTATGACTAATTAGTCAAATACTTTAAAAAGATAAACTACTACCATCTTAGCCCCCTTATTCCGCAATGAGGAAGTAAGTTATTTCCCGTGAATGTGCAATGCTTTCGATTCATTTCGATTGCAGTTAACTATCTGCACTACAAACTGGCATATTTATAATTATACCAATGCATTAAAATGATTCAATGAAAAAATAACAGTTTGCAATATCAAGCAGCATATTGGACTGTTAAAAATATGTTAAAAATAAGGTGGATATTCAACTGAAATAGCAGAGTAGTATACTTAAAGTATGATGTAAAGTTCACTTAAAGAAAACTTACGAGTATACTTGCAGTATAAAACTACTAAACTAGTAGTTTACTGAGACTATACTTCAAAGTGTACTAAAAATGCTACTACAAGTATTTAATTAGAAAACTATCAGTATTCATATGTTAACTTTTAGTATAGTTGCAGTACAAGCTAAAAATAGTGTTGTAAACTAGTTGTGTATTGTATTTCTACTACTGTTATACTTAAAGTATACTTAAAAGTATACTTTTATATACTAGAAAGTGGGCCAATTTAGTCCCAAGGAGTATTGAAATAGTACACTACTAAGTATACTACTAGTACACTGATATTTGTATACTTGCTACATAAAGTATACTTAAAAATATACTTGAACTTTACTTAAGTATACTTAATAAAATAAACTTGAAGTATACTACTTTTTGGTAAGGGTAGGTCTACAGTATAACAGCAGTCATATTAGAGCGTGGCGATAGAACTAGCTGATAGCATTAGCACCCCTCAGCTGTCATGATGTGTTGGCAAAGCTAAAGATAAGACCCTACTGAGAAGGAAAAACCTTACAAGTCTGCAAGACGGCAGCCAGTTTTTCTCCCCACAGAGAGAACAGAAATACCTGGGCCTTTTGTAAGTGTACTGTATGGTGCCACATCACCGTCTGGCCTTTCTTGGCAGATTTCTACAGCACATCATCAACTAGCGTAGAAGCTAACAAAGCTGGCAACTCAACTGTAAGGAGTGAGTGACAGACGTTTTTCACACAAAATATGCTAATTCTCATTTCAATGCTATTCACTTTCCAGCAAAGCAAGCAGAACTGATTATGTAACGCCAGATGGAAGATCCAGTTTAAACCAGCTTGATCATAGTGGTTTCATATGGTTTAGTTGGTCCAAGCTAGTCAGTTGTGGTCTTTAGGTTATCCAAGCTGGTTTAGGTAGTTGTAAAGATGTTTGAAAGAATTGTTCTTCTGAGTCAGATCAATGAATCAGTTGAACAAGTTCACAAAACCTGTTTTATATTTCATAAAGGTTTATATTAAATAAAGTCCCTTATTAACAAGTCTTAATAAACCATGTTATGAAGTATCGGAAAGCCATAAATAGTATTTTTGTAATGGTTCACTGAAACTATTTGAAAGATCCGATTTGGTGGAATAAATCAAATGCTACATTTTTAAATAGTTGATCATCTATGCTAGCAGCTTTTGGTTCCAGGCAAACCATCTTGGCCATCACGGTTAGGGTAAGTAGACTAGCTTAGCCAAACTAGTTGATTATGAAGAACTAGTCTTGAGCAGGGGTCATCAGTCTTATTTTTCAGATTCGAATTAGATCATTCTTGTTAAAGAGAAAAGTTAGATGACTAACTTGTAAGACTACTTTATGCAACTGGCCACCTTTACTGGCATGACCAGGATTTCTACAGCACAGATAAAACTGAATAAACCAGACTGCTTGTGCTCAAACAACAGGAATAACAAGACAACAAAGTATGACTTAGGGCTGTGCGATTTGGGGGAAAATATCAAATTGCGATTATTTTGACAGATATTGCGATTGCGATTTGATTAGCTATTTTAAATTTGCAAAGTCAAGCTTCAGCTCAATATTGTCAATAATGTGCAGCACAGTATGGGTATCATTACCCTGCTGAAAAAAAACAATAGAAACATTCGTTTTAAACGCGGAGCCAGGCGTGAGTCGACACAGGTTGCGCTCGTGCGTCAAGCCTCATCCATACTGTCAGATGCGCTCGTGGAGACTTGCGGAGCCGGGTGCGAGTATAAACGAGCATTGACTATTATAGCCTGATTGTTTTTTCTACATTTTTCGGTGAATATTTTAGGTACAATTATCATTTTACAGTCATTTTTCATCAGTTGCATCTGTTTTGGTCAGCTGTGCTGACATTTTGACTTCTATCACAGATCAAGAAAATGGTTCTCAAACAGCGTTTTTTTCTTCACTAACAGGACGAAAATCAATTTAAGGAAAACAACAGTAATTGAACTGACCACTCTTGAGATTTTTACTGGAAACGAAGCCCAAAACAAACCACACCAAAGCACTTAGGACACAATGCTTGAACCCATCGCACATGCCGACGACGTTCAGATGACAGATTGCAAGCTACTACCTGAATCAATAAGATGGGGTCCACATTGTCTCAGCTAATTGCACAGAATCAATCTATATAGTGTGCTAGAGCTAGTGACTAATTACAGTCTACCAGGGTCTGGTTAGACACTCCGCATGTATGAAATGATGTGACTGCAAATTAGCATCACTGCACCTCAGGCATACATCAACAGTACATTACTGTAACTAATAATGTGCAGAAACTGTGACAAAGCATCAGGGTGTAATTAACTCTATGAACTTGAATTCAATGCTTTCAATGACAATATAATTAAAAAACCTTATTAGCTTCAGACTGATTTACAAACTCGTTGGTTGTACAGAATGTTAACTTTAATAGACAATCCTCTGAAATAGACATCAAACATAACATTCAGAACGATTATCATACCCATTTTCCAAGATCCAACCAATTCCTGATGGATAAAATAAATTTTTCCTTTCCCGTTTCACTTATATAAATATAGACGTGACATATAAATATGTTAGATTATTAAGAAGTAATTTAGCTTGTGAATGGCATCTCATATTGAAAAAAGAAAGTCATGTTAGAGGTTCACCAAGTTATCACATGGTGATGAAAAATTTAACTATAAACCAGATTAAACAAAGACAAACCTTTTTCATTGTTCATCTGCAACAAATATGGTAAAACAAGACCAGGTCTGTGCATTAAAGAAGCACACAGGGTCAAATTTGATTTCACTGACTTGTGTTCACACTAATTCAAACACTGCCAAAATGATCACAATGAAAGCCATTTAAAATTACAACAAGGTTCTCTGGTTTGTGCTTTGGAATTGAGACAAAGAAAACAAACAGCGTGGGAGAGAACTAGTGCTCCAGCCAAACCACTCCATAAGTGGCACAAATCTTTGTAGTAAAAAAAACAGTTTTTAATTATTAAATAATTTTCATTATCAACAACAAAAAGAGTACTTGGCTGTATCCCACATTTTCATAATCATTTTATATTTTTTGATACATTTTGTATATTTATTTTGAATTTATTTCCAGAAATGAAATGCATTTAGACATGTCCCAAATGTTGCTAAGAGTTTAGGCAAACTTAAAAGAAAATGAATAGAAAAGCACTGGTGCTAGCAACGCCAGGGTCATGGGTTCAAATCCCATGGAATGCATGAACTTATAAATGATGCATATTCATTATGCATGATGAACTGAATAAAACAGCTCATATGATATTTTGTTGGACTTTTCCGAAATGTATCTCCTTTTACTGATTATTTGTTGACAAAGAAAAAATGCCGAATGCATTCAAAACATATAAACACGGTGAGTAAAGAAAGCAAGAAAAACAGACCCAGACACGACAGAAAAAAAAAAGTCAAGTTGGGAAATGCATAACAAAAGGTGCCGTGAATGATACTGTACAGTATAGAGCATTATAAATTCCCTTGATGTGACGGGGCGATCATCAGTGTTGCATTTCAACTCAGTTTGTGACAAACATTTATCTAAGCTCAACAGGAAGAGGTGATTTTCTCTCATCTATTCCCATAATGAAGTTTGCACCAGGCTATTTTAATTTCACAACACAACAGTTCCCATAAACAAACTATAATCATCCGTCTCATGTGAGAGGACACGTGTCTGTAACCAAAACATCATGGGCTTCAGTCACCCAACAACACTGATAAATATGTGTGAAGATAAAACAAACTGAAAATAAAGACACAAGAGAAAACATATACTGTACACATATATATTAAAGTCTAAAAAACATGGTTTAATGGTTGATTTGTTTACAAACACGCAGTTTATGGATTACTTATATTACTCGTGTATTATTGTGACATTTTTATCAGCTGTTTGGACTCTCACTCTGACGGCACCCATTCACTGCAGTGGACCAATTGGTGAGCAAGGGATGTAATGGTAAATTTCTCCAAATCTGTTCTGATTAAGAAACAAACTCATTTACATCTTGGATGGCCTGAAGGTGTTTCCTGAATTTTCAGGAAATTTACATTTTCACTTTAATAAGGAGTATTAATCAGGAGTATATTACTGTCTTAATATGCGTGTGTGTGTGTGTGTGTGTATTTTCAAATGTTACTTTTTTTAATTAAATATGTATAATTGTAAATGTATTTAAAAAATAAAATATGAATTTTCCATAATTAAAAACATAGTAGCCTATTTTAAATAAAAATATACATGTATAATATTTTAAATATGAATGTATTCATATTTTATTTAAATCAACATACAAGCAACAAATACTACAAATGCTTCACGATTTAAATAATATATCACTGTTTTTTTTAGAATGACAGGTTTTGTGAGATTTACCTTGCTAGCCTCTGGATGCCTCTCAGTGAAACGTGGTTCATTTTCAGGCAGACGCTGTCTGTCTCTCCTGACACAGAGAGACAGGACGGGGTGTTAGACAGCATCCCCCTGTCTCCAGCTCCAGAGAGACAGGCAGAGCCACCTGGCTCATAAATCAGACCTGCTGTGGGATGAAGCACAGCGGTGGGCTCTAAACTGCCTCCATCCTGCAATACTCTGCA